CTCTCCGGACCCGAACCAACTACCCCAGCAAGTCACATATAGAAAATGAGCATTAAATCTCCCATACAAATCCTCACACGGAGCCATCTGAATGCTCGAGTGGTAGCTGTTGTTGTAGGCAAACTCTACGAGCGGCATAAATTGATCCCATGAACCCCCGAAATCAATGACACAAGTACGTAGCATGTCCTCCACTATTTGAATAGTGCGCTCGGACTGTCCGTCCGTCTGAGGGTGGAATGTTGTACTCAACTCAACCTGGGTGGCCAACTCTCCCTGTACCGCTCTCCAAAAGGGCGATGTAAACTACGTGTCCTGATCTGAAATGATGGACACCGGCACACCGTGAAGGCGAACGATCTCGCAGATGTAAATCTCATCCAACCGCTCTAAAGAATAAGTAGTCCCAACTGGAATGAAGTACGAAGACTTGGTCAGCCGATCCACAATCACCCAAATAGCATCGAACTTCCTCGAAGTCCGTGGGAGCTTAACTAAAAATCCATGGTGATCCGCTACCATTTCTACTCTGGAATCTCTAGCCTCCGAAGCAATCCGCCCGATCTCTGATGCTCATACTTTCCCTGCTAACAGTTGAGGCACCGAGCTACAAATCCCACTATATCTTTCTTCATTCTTCTACACCAATAATGCTACCTCAAGTCTTGGTACATCTTCGCGGCACCTGGATGAATAGAATACCGTGAACTGTGGGCCTCCTCAAGAATCAACTCACGTAGCCTATCTACATTAGGCACACAAATTTGACCCTGCATCCTCAATACCCCATCATCCCCAATAGTAACATCTCTGGCATCACCATGCTGAACCGTGTATATAAGGACAAGCAAATGGGGATCATTATACTGGCGCTCTCTGATACGATAATATAAGGAAGATCGAGAAACCACACAAGCTAGAACCCGACTGGGCTCCGAGACATCTAATCTCACGAACTAGTTGGCCAAATCCTGAACATCAACTGCAAGAGGTTTCTCACCAACAGGAATGAATGCAAGGCTACCCATACTCACCGCCTTTCTACTCAAGGCATCGGCTACCACGTTAGCCTTCCCGGGATGATACAAAATAGTGATATCATAGTCCTTTAGCAGCTCCAACCATCTCCGCTGCCTCAAATTTAGATCCTTCTGCTTGAACAAATGCTGAAGACTCCAATGATCTGTAAACACCTCACAAGACACACCGTAGAGATCATACCTCCAAATCTTCAATGCATGAACGATGGCAGCAAACTCCAAATCATGAACAAGGTAGTTCTTCACATGGGGCTTCAACTAACACGAAGCATAAGCAATCACTCTACCCTCCTGCATCAAGACACATCCAATATCAATCCGAGAAGCATCACAATATACTATATAAGAATTAGAAGCTGAAGGTAGAACTAGAACTAGAGATGTGGTCAAGGCAGTCTTGAGCTTTTGAAAGATCTCCTTACACTCATCCGTCTACCTGAAAATAACACCCTTTTGGGTCAATTTGGTCAAGGGCGATGCAATAGACGAGAAACCCTCTACGAAGCGACGATAATAATCGGCCAAGCCAAGAAAGCTCCGAATCTTCGTGGCTAAGGACAGTCTGGGCCAACTCTGAACTGCCTCTATCATCTTCGGATCCACCTGAATCCCCTCACTGGACACCACGTGCCCCAAGAACTCCACTGAACTAAGCCAAAACTCATATTTGGAGAACTTAGCATAAAGCTTCTTCTCCCTCAACCACTGCAACACAATCCTTAAATGCTGAGCATTCTCCTCCTGGCTACGAGAGTATACCATGATTTCATCAATGAACACTATGAAAAATGAGTCAAGATAAGGCTGAAATACATTGTTCATCAGATACATAAATGCTGTTGGGGCGTTGGTCAGCCCAAAAGACATCACGAGGAACTCATAATGACCATAACGGGTCCTGAATACTGTCTTTAGAATATCCGAGTCCCGAATCTTCAACTGGTGATACCCAGACCTCAAGTAAATCTTAGAGAACACCCTCGCTCCCTGAAGCTGGTCAAATAGATCATCAATGCGCGGCAAAAGATACTTGTTCTTGATTGTAACTTTGTTCAACTGCCTGTAATCAATGCACATCCGCATAGTGTCATTCTTCTTCTTCACAAATAGGACTGGTGCACCCCAAGGAGACATACTGGGTCTAATAAACCCCTTATCAAGAAGTTCCTGAAGCTGCTCCTTCAATTCATTCAACTCAGCTGGTGCCATACGATACGGAGGAATAGAAATGGGCTGAGTGCCCGGCACCAAGTCAATCCCAAAGTCAATATCCCTTCCAGGCGGCATGCCCGACAGGTCTGCTAGAAATACATCCGGAAAATCTCGCACCACCAGAACATAATCAATAGTAGGAGTATCAGCACCAACATCCCTTACGAAGGCCAAATAAGATAAACAACCCTTCCCAACCATCCGCTGGGCCTTCAAATAGATCAAACATAGTCTAGATAACCTCTCCACTCAATCATTGTCAACCCCGGTATCACCAACATCACGGTCTGAGCGTGACAATCCAGAACAACATGATATGGAGACAACCAATCCATACCCAAGATCACGTCGAAGTCCGCCATACTAAGCAATAAGAGATCAACTCTGGTCTCCAATCCCCCAATAGTCACTACATACGACCGATATATACGGTCCACAACAATAGTATCGCCTACTGGCATAGATACATGAATAGATGAAACTAAGGACTGATGAGGCATATCCAGATAATGAGCAAAATACAATAATTCATACGAATAAATGGAACCAGGGTCAAATAATACAGAGGCATCCCTGTGGCTTACTAAGACAATACCTGTGATAACTATATCGGAAGCAACAATATTTGGCCTGGAAGGAATAGCATAGAATAAGGCCTGGCCTCCACCTGATCGGCCTCCCCTTCTTGGGCGACCTCTAGCTGACTGAGCCCCACCCCGAGCTGGCTGGGCGGGTGGTGAAGTAACTGGTGCTGAAGTCGCAGCTTGACTCCTCTACTTCACTGGACCTCCTGGGCGACGAGGACACTACCTCCACATATGCTCAAACTCCCCGCACTCAAAGCAACTCCCCGGTGCTGGTGGTGGGGACTGAAGGGAGCCCCGAACACCAGGATAACTGCTAGAAGGACCCGGCATAGATGAACCCTGAGCCGATGGAGCACGGGACAAACTCTAAGCTGGAAGGGCACTGAGAGATGATTGACCTTGATGAGAACTGTTTGAACCATGGCTGGATAATGCACCACGGTGAACTGGACGAGCCGTTTGAGCGTGCCTATAAGTACGACCCCTGCCATGGTAGTACTGACCTCCAGAAGGAACACCGGTGAAACCAGCCGATCCATGAGGCTGCTTGGCCTCCCTCTCTCCATGCTCATGGCCATGGACCATCTCTATCTACCGAGCAATGTCAACCACTTCATCACAAGTAGCACCAGACACCCTCTCCCGAGTCATAAGAAATCGTAGCTGATATGTGGGGCCATCAATGAACCTCCTAATACTCTCCGTATCAGTGGGAACCAACCAAACTGTGTGATGAGCTAACTCAGAAAACCTCATCTTGTACTGTGTCATAGACATGCCCTTCTGACGGAACAGCTCAAACTGTCTATGCAGCTCCTCCCTGCGAGACTGTGGCACGAACTTCTCCAAGAAGAGAATAGAGAACTCCTGCCATGTAAGCGGTGCTGCACCGACCGACCTGCGTCTCTCATAAGCCTCCCACCATCTGATGGCAGCCCCTGTGAACTGAAAAGTAGTAAACGAGACCCCACTGGTCTCCAGAATACCATCCATGTGAAGAATCCACTGGCACTTGTCCAAGAAGCTCTGAGCATCCTTTGACTCAGCACCGCTAAATGATGGAGGCTGAAGCCTCCCAAATCTCTAAAGTCTCGTTTGCTCATCATCATTCATAACGGGGACCACTTGGTCCTGAGCAGCTGCAACCATCTGGTTGTACTCACGCTACACCCTTCACTTTCTGTGCATATCCAGGTATTTTCGGACACGACGGGTGTTGATTCCATCGCACAGTTGATCTTTTGGAGATTCCAAGGTAGCTGCCCGATATTTCGCAGACCTTGTATCTCCTTCCCTATCTTTTTGTTTATTGTATTGAGTTTTAGACTATCATAGACAGTATTTTTTTGACTTGTGATGTATAGATGCTCATGCACTCTGTGACACCCCGATAGTTGGGAACTTTTGCTTTGAGTTTTGGGTTTCTATCCCTGTTTATGAGATCTTTTATTATTTAAACTACTTTAATTCATTTTCTATTAAAAGTGTTGGAATTATTTCATAATGTCGGCTTGCCTAGTACCACGTTAGGCGCCATCACGACAGGTTAGGATTTTGGGTCGTGACATGCGCCAACCAAATCATCTCTATCGTCATCCTCACTCTCCACATCCGTCTCAAAGCTCCCATCAACTTTTAAAATCATTGTCCTTATATTAGGACATTCAGAAGCAATATGCTCAACCTCATGACATTTAAAATATTTAGTATCTCTGTTTCTAGTATTAGTATGGAACAAATTAGTACCTTGAGCTTTTTTTTCCTTGATTTTTTCTTGTTTAGGCCTTTGGACAGCTCTATCATCTCCTGGCTTACTCCAATTTCCCCTCCAAGAAGTGTTGCCCATATCCTTTGATTTTTCCCAACTTGGACTAGGAGTAGGCTGCTTGTTTTGACCCTTGAACTTGAGCTGCCTTTAGAATTTTACAGCCATGTGCACAAGTTCCTCCATCTCCACATAATGTTTTAAGTCTACAACATTTGCAATTTTTCTATTCAGTCCACTAATGAGCCTTTACATAGTTACCTCACGATCCTCTTCAATGTTGGCTCTAATCAGGGACATCTCCATCTCTTGCTAATACTCCTCAACACCTTTTGTACCTTGGTATAAGGTTTGAAGCCTCCTATGAAGATCTCTATAGTAGTGTGAGGGAATAAATCATTTTCTCATAATAGCTTTCATCTCTTCCCAAGAAGAAACCGGCCTTCCCAAATTTTTACTTCTATTCACCACTATCTTATCCCACCATGTTGAAGCGTAATCGGTGAATTCGATAATTGCTAATTTTACCTTTTTCTCCTCCGAGTAATTATGGTAATCAAACACCTTCTCAACCTTTCTTTCCCAGTCTAGATAGGCATCTGGATCACTCTTCCTTTGAAAGGAAGAGATGTTCATCTTAATACTACCCAAATTTCTATCAACCCCTTCTTCATTCCTAAGTCCCCTTTGTGGTCTTCCTATTCTTCTACCCCCTCTTTGACCATGTCCTCCCATATAAACATAGTCATTATCACTATCTTCTTCAATGACATCGAAGTGTTCTTCACCAACCTGTGATTGTGCATGTGGTTGTTCTTGCCTCCTTTCGTTCCCTGGGACTCTTCTCCTATTTTCATTTTCTTCCAGCCTCTCTTCCATATTATCTAATCTCATACTCATCCTTGAAAATTCTCGTTGCATTGCTTGAATGGCAACCAATATATCTAGATTGGCATTTACACTTCCTGTGCTTTCACCACCATTGCATGCGTGCGACATGCTTATACAAAAAGAAAAAGTTAGGGCCTCATAACACTGCCTCATGTGTTTACACTCACTCAATGTCACACAACCCTCGTGTTTGTCCCTCAATAATTTTGGCTTTTTTTTTTAAATCTCTCCACTCATACCTTTTACTACTATAGAGTTTTCCTTTGTAGTTCTGCCAAGTAACTAAATCTGGACGACTCCAAAAGAACATTTCTATTGTAGAATTCTAATATAAAGAGCTCACATGTTGACAAGAGAAGAAACAATGATGCTAAAAAATAAAACTAAGGGAACAAAAAAATTCAACAAGAATAGCTGAATACACAGGATTGACTATATGGATTTAATCATAACTTAAGCTACATGACTAAAATGATTTGATTCAGAGAGACAAAAAAGATCACAATAGGTAGTATTTAAGTAAAATACTACTTGTTGAATAAGAAGAATAGATGACAAAAAAATCCAGAAACAAAAGACTGCTCTAGATTATAGTATTTTTGGACATTTTTTTTTGTTTTTTTGTTTTTCAAATAAAGAGATCAAAACTTGAACTAATATAAGATAATATAATCAACTAGGCTCTAATACCAAATGATGCGGAACCCAAGATCAAAAGATATATGATGTAAATATGGTAGGAAGTGACATAGGATAATAAGAATTAGTATGGAATTGAAAGAAAAAATTACGAAGCTTACAAGGAGATTAGATCCCAAGATTAGAAGCGCAAGCAACTATGGATATATTAAATACACAACCTCAAGAGCAGTAATCAAGTAACCTAATCTATCACCTAAGATAGAAGATTACTTACAAGGAGAAACTATCCTTGAAGCAATCAAAGACAAGTTCTTGGTAGAACTTAAGGAGAACTCTCCTAAACTCTCAAAGAGATAAATATATTTCATATAACACTCAAAGGTATGATGATCTTACAATGAAAGAGTGATGGTTATTTATAGAGTCATTTCAACTACTCTTTAGCAAGCTACAAGTGTACATGCAATCTTCAACAATGGAGGCCTTAAAGTCATCCAAGAAATCTTATGGAGGCCTACAAACATAGTCATACCATCTAACTACTTGTTGCACCTTTTAAATGAGTTCACAAGAATAATTCAATTTAATGTTTTCCACCAAGTATGAATGGTTGAATCTCTTGTATTGAAAATCTCAGCATATTGGTGCAGTCTTGGTAGAAAATCTATAATTTTATCTAGGAGTGTTTAAATTGCATAATTATTGATTCTATAAAAATAAGACATATTAGGCTAAACTTTTGGTAAGTTTCACAGCTAAATTCATCTTATACTGAATTAATTTTTTGCCACCCAGGTTCTGTGTTATTTTTTCATAACTAATATAATTTTTCAAAAAGATTTGATGAAGTTCCCGACTGATATCGGTCNAAGACGTTAGATCAATTAGATAATTAATTAAACATTAAATATTACTTATTTAAAAGCAATTTTGATAAATTGATTTTATAATTAAATTATTTTTAAAAAAAATTAAAATGAAAATACCGACTGATTTAGATCGGAAATGTTGTAGTCAAACGGTCAATTGGTCATTTAAATGTACCGACTACAATTTTTGGCCGAAGTCGGCCGAAAATCTTTAATTTAGGGCTGCAAGAGAGGGTTTCTTCTCCATTTCTCTCTTTTTCCTTTCTCTCATTCTCTCTTTCAAAGGTGCGATTTCACCCAAAATCCCACCCAAAATCAACTCATCACTCCCTTCTCATACATAATCAAAGCCCCCCTTCGTCTCTCCCCGCCCGCCGTCGCCGCCACCATTGCTCGCCGGCCACCACTGCCGCGCCACCACTGCTCGTCACCTCCGCTCACTGCCATTTTCACCCAAAATCATACCCCTCTCCTCTCTTTGAAGGTTAGTTATCTGTATTTGTTAATTTTAGTTATTTAAATTCTTTCAATTGTATAAACTAGGGTTTACTCTTATTGATTTTGGGATTTTGGGATTCTTTCAATTGATTTTTAATTCTTTAGATTTAGGGTTTACTCTTATTGATTTTATTTATGATAGCATGTAATGTACTTGGCTTAGCTAATTTAGAAGATATTATGTTAGAAGGTTATGATTATGCTTTGCTTAGCTAATTTTAATGTTTTCAATTTTATTGATCATGATTATGATAGAGTTTATTTAATTATAATTTAGGGCTTACTAAATTAGATTTAGGGTTTATTAATTATGGTTAATACTAAGTGATTTAGTCTAATTGAATGGCTTAACTAATTCATTGTTCTAGCTAGTAACAATATTGTATTCAAATTAATAAGTACTCAAGTTATTTAAATTTACTAAATTGTTACTAAAATTTATTATGTAACTTAAACTATAAATTAATTTGAATACTTAATTAATTTAACATGCAATTTATTTGTTCATTGTTTAGATGGAATATCGTAGTTGGATGTATAATAGGAATTATCTTAATCGTCAATTTTTGAGGGAGAAATTTATAGAAGGGGTTAATGAATTTATTAGGCATGCAATGTCACTTGAACCATTTCAGTTTGGAGGGATGATTAGGTGTCCTTGTGTGAAGTGCAAGTGTTTGCATTTTTTTTGGCATCGAAGAATGTTAAGACTCATCTTTATAGAAAAAGGTTTATGGATAATTATTTTGTGTGGACTAATTATGGAAAGGTTGATGGTAGTGATGGTGTATTTCATAACTAGCCACAACCACAGAATCAACTTCAACAACACATAAGTTACACAAACTTGAGGATACAAATTGGAATTACCTTTGTTAGCATACATAGACATAAGAAGTAAGTTGAGTGCCTTATAAAAAGCCCTATCTGTCATAAGATTTTCTAACACAAATGAAATGCATATTAGGTAAAAGACAAAGAAATCAAACCCTTTGGAGTAACTCTCCGGGCTTCAATATCTATTTATTTATTTAGCAAAATAAAAATTGTTTTGAGTAACATCCACCATTAGTAAAAAGTTGGTAATTTGTAACAAATATACCACTATCTAATGCTTGGAGACGCGAACCGTGAAGCAAAGAGGAGTAAAGAATTATAAATTCTACAGTCTTTTTGTAACGACTCGAACGGTCATTTTGAGCTCTAGCGCGTAGTTCAGCGGGTTGAGGCCCTGAGCAGCTTCACTTCAGGTATTATGACTTGTACGCATGATCAAAATTTAATTTCGAGAAGTTCGGAGTTGATTTGGAAAGAAAATTCTCATTACGGAAGCTTTAAGTTGAAAAGATTGACTAAGGTGTGATTTTTGAGTAAACGACCTCGGAATCAGGATTTGAAGGTTTCAACAGGTTCGCATGATGATTTTGGAATTGGGCGTATGTCCAAATTCAGTTTTGGATGACCAGTGAGCGTTTCGACGCCTATTATGGAAGTTGGCATTTAGGAAGCATTTCATAAATTTGAGTTGAAGTGAATTTAAATGTTATCAATGTCCGTTTAGGATTTCGAGTCTGGGAATAGTTTCGTATGGTGATTCTGGTATTGGGAGCGCGTCCAGATATGGATTTGGAGGTCCGTAGGTCATTTTGAGGTCATTTTGAGAAAGTTGGAATTTGAAGGTTTTTGAGAAGTTTGACCGGGAATGGACTTTTTGATATCAGGGTCGGATTCTAATTCCGAAAGTTGGAGTAGGTCTGTAATGTCAAATGTGATTTGTGTGCAAAATTTGAGGTCAATCGAACATGACTTGATAGGTTTCAGCATCAAATGTAGAAGTTTAATAGGTTGGATTGCTGGTTCTGGTATGATCGCAATTGCGATGTTTAGGTCGCAAATGCGGCCATCGCATTTGCGAGGAAGTGTTCACAATTGCGAACCTGGGCTGCTGATGGAATGGATCATATTTGCGACAATATGGTCGTTTTTACAAAGCCTGAAGAGTTCGCATTTGCGAACTCTGTATCGCATTTGCGATGAAGGCCAACTCTGTCAGGGGTCGCATTTGCGATGCTTTCTTCGCATTTGCGAAGGTCGAGCCAAGGGCTTTTTATTCCGAGACTTGCTCATTTCCCTTATTTCCCACTTGGACTTAGGTGATTTTTGAGAGCATTTTGAGAGGGGGTTCCATCATCATAAAGAGGTAAGTGAATTCTTCTAGTTGCGAGTTAAATACAAGGTTTATATATGAATTTAAACATGAAAATTTATAAAAATTTGGGATTTTGAAGAAAAACCTAGAAATAAGTATTTTTTGATTTTTACCGCGAGTTTGGGCATGGAATTGAGAATAAATAATATCTTTGAGTTTGTAATGTTATGGGTAATGTTTATCTTTGAATATTTTTAGAATCCGGGCATGTGGGCCCGAGGGCTGCTTTATCAATTTTTCGAGCGAAGTTGGAAATTATTATAAATTGATCAATTATGAGTATTAGAGTATGTCTTGATTGGGTTGCATCTTATTTGACTAGTTTTGGATCGACGGTCACCGGGTTGAGGTGTTAGGGCGGCGTTGGAGTCGGTTTTGGAACGTTAGAGTGAGGTAAGTCTCCTGCCTAACTCTGTGAGGAGAAAATTACCCCTAGGTGTTGTATATTGATGTGTCCTACTTGTTGTGGGGGCCACGTACGCGTGAAGTGATGAGAGCCCGTACGTAGCTACATTCATGTTATTGTCCAGGTAGGCTTAGGTTCACATCATGCTATAGCTGTATTATTTGAGCAGTCTCTCGCCTATTAAATTCCACTATTTTACATTACTACTTGAGACTAGACTTGCTATTGTTGAGACTTCACGAGTTCATGATTAGTCACCGAATAATTTTACTCCTCTTACGACATGTTTCTGTGGTATATATGTTTCATTGAAAGGTTTTTGTTAAAGAAATTACAACTCACACGTTTATTTGTGAGTGGGGTCAAGGACCCGTCAAAGCCTCTTATTCTTATGGGATTGGGCCGTTCGCCTCGGCAGGATTTGAATTCCACTTCTTATGGGATCGAGCCATTCGCCTCTGCAGGATTTATGTACCACACTCTC